CCTTCAGAGTTTCTCTTCTCTCTCTGTTCCCTGAGACCCCACAGCTCAGTGTTGTCCCCAACACTGCAGCAAAGTACAAACTACAGGCATGCTTTCTCCCTTGCCACATCTCCTGGGGACCCCAGAGACCATCAGCTCCTGATGGCCCTCCCCAACTCTTCGCCTTATCCTAGCCACCAGCTCCGTCAGGCAAGCTCTTCTAAAATACAAGCCACGCTTGAGAGAAAAGCAGATGGGTTGTCCGTGGAAATCCTCTCCTCTGTGTGTCCAGGATCCACTCTGTTAGTTTTGTTCTGATCTCTAAATCACAAAATTAGATGCAGCCTCACTTCGTACCTGCCTACAACTCCTGCACATCGCCCAGACCAACACTCATAACCTCCCTCCCTGTGTTCAGTGCTATATCCAAGCCTCTATCCGAAGCAGGAATTCTCTGTGAAAACGTCCTCTGTACTGGGCAAGAAAACAGGCAATGCAATGCCTTAATCTGAAAATTTATGACATTCTCTAAAATCTGGAAAGGAAACAGAAATCATGCATGTGTGCGCGCACACACACACACACGCACACACACATGCACACATGTGCGTGAACACACACACACACACACACACACACACACACCACACACACACGCCAAATAAAGCAAATCATTAGAACAACTGTTTCATTTCTTAATTCTCAAAATCATGACCTTGTCAAAGTTTGCTGGAATCTAACAGGAACAAATGAAATTCAGACTTAATTATTTGGTCACTGATATAAAAACAGAAATATTTGCTAAATACTTAAATTATGCATCTACAGTGTTCAGAATTAGTTATCTTATAAAGTATGCGATCTGAATTATAGTCATAAGAAAAATTGCTAATTTTTTGATAACACATGCTCAGAGGGACATTTATATCCCAAATGGAATATGTATTAATGTATGCATTTATCTGTGTGTTTCTGCAATTTAAAGTGAGTTAAAGTAAATTAGTTGTATTCTGAAGGGTTAGGCTCTGACTGTTATTTAATTCACTTTGATATAGTTGTTTACTTATTAATTTGTATGTACATATGTGCATAGACATAAACATGCCTGAGTGACCATATGGAGGTCAGAGGACAACTTGTGGGAATCATTTCTCTCCTTTCCCTACGCAGGAACCAAACTCAGGTGCTGAGGCCAGGCAGCAGGCAACAGCTTTACCCACTGAAAATCTCTATGGCCCCAGAAATTTAAATATAAGTCAAGAGTAAAATGAAATAAAAAATTGTTTCAAGAAAAGAAAAAAAAGAGGCAATGAAGTTCTGAAATATGTGATGTACATTCAGAAAGTGTATGGAAAATTGAATGCTGTGTCTTTTTAATAAACCCTCAGAACTGGAAATACGGGTGAGGGAATAAAGTGCTTTTCATGAAAACCACAAGCCCTGCCTTTCTATTCCCAGTACCAGGTAAAGGTGACTGAGGCAGCACATATCTATAACCCTAGCTATATAACTCAGCACTCAGCATTTCACCCCGTGACAATATCAGAAAACTCTGTTTGCGTTTGCAGCACAGTTTCTTACTTCAGCATATTTTTGTTGTTATTGAATCGTCAGGCACACACACAGGAGGTCTCAGAAGTGCCACCATAGACGTGGCCTGTGTTTAGTTGGCAGAAACTTTAGATAACCAGCGTTGCCTCCTATTAAAATGTCCTGTCTTGATTTTGCACCATGTATAATCAATCTCATAACTCAGGAGATAAGAAATCAATTCTTATCTGTGGCTTCCTTTTGCTATGTCTAATTACTCGATCTGATTTGGTTCTCCTTAAATCAATTATTCAGACTAAATACAATTAAGTGTAGAGTGATAGTCTCTACCCACAGCTTCTCTGTGTAGGTGAGTACAACTGCTTCAAGGATTTTTTTAAGAGAAAAAGTGCCAATCTACGATCTTTCTTTTACTTACAATGCTACCTTTCTGTATTTATCATTCAAAGTTACGATCAATATAAAAATTTTCCAATATGCTTATCATTAGGTAGAAATTGCTCTATACTTATGCAAATCAAGCCCTAGACTTTTTCTATTACAAGAATAGCTTCAAAGTTTCAGCTGTTTAAAAGAATTCAGATTAATTTGTTTATACAATGAATTTTAACCATATTTACTCCCATTTCTTCATTTCTACATTAGATTCATTTGTGAGTTTTTTCATCAACCCAGAGACAGGACAAGCTATTTACCCCTAATGGTTAATCTCCTTTTTGAAACTAAGTCATCAAATATTAGTAATCAAAAATGTTATCAAGGAAATTACTCAAATGGGTGAGCCCTAATTTGAATCTCCAGAATCCAAGGAAACCTGGACATGGTAGTGTGCACATGTAGTCCCAGCAGTCCTATGAGTGTTGTGATGCAAGATCCTGAAAATATATCTTATGAGAGATTGGAACTTTAGCTGGACCTCACAGCCAGAGTTCATAATACACCTTGATTGATACCCTACTAGGCACTCCATCTGTTGAACTTGCTTTTAAGAGAACAACATAAATATCAACCTCATTTGTCTTAGATTTTCCACATAATCAACTTTCCCAACCTAAATTATTGTATAACTATGATCTTAAATATGCACTCTTCCATGCCCCTGACCAAGATCAATGCATGTGTATCATTTGCTAAGAGCAGGAAATATAGTGGTTGAAAGCAGCTTTCTAAAATGTATCATAAAGAACGAAAGCACCCACTTGTGGATATTTGTTGATAAACAATGAAGTATGTAGTACTGTCTGTTGTCTGGATCAGTTGGGAATACTTGAAGTCATTGAATGATCCCCTTATAAAACATTTGAAAATTTACTTAAACTATCCGATTCATTCCCCCCATGTGATGCTTACTCTACGGTTCAATACAGACAGCGAGGCCCTTTGTGTAGGAGAGAGAAACAGCCATATTATATACATGCACTATAATAGACAGACACAGTCATAAAATAAACCCCCCCAAAACAGTAGATACAGGGACAGACAGACACAGGGACAGATTCATAAGGCAAACGTTACTAGGAGAAGGATATGATTCAGGCTCATACAACAAAGACACAAGGAACATGAAGCAGGGAATTCCAATTTGGATTCACTCTTGGATAAATGACTCCAAGGAAAAGTGCTTTTATTTCTTTCCTTAATTCAACAACAAGGCATTATTGATAACTCGGAGTTAATCACTAATTCATGTAACCAGTGCAGGATAGAGACCTGGGATTCAGAGCAACAATATGATGAAAACTTCTGGGTTAGTTAGCCTGCTGTATACAGAGGAAAACAAACAGGATTCTCTTTCAGGCAAATTGGAAGATACAGACTAACACTTGATGTATTCTACTGACCTCCACATGTGCATTGTGGCACATACAGACCCTCATTCACATACGTACACACACACACACACACACACACACACAGGAATGACACTAGATACATATCATACACTTAAGAAAAGATTTTTAAAACTTAAATGTGTACATACATGAAAGTAGACATCTTGCCTTGGTCACTTCGCTAAATATGTACCTTTACAAAATGTTTGTTAGAACCAAAGTTTAAATTAATTTAAGTGTATTACATACATAAAGTCATATCAAAAGAGATGATGGATGTGGTTCTATGTGTAAAGGGCCTGCTGTTCAATCATGAAGGCATGAATTTGGGTCCTCAGAAACTACATAAAAGTCAAATACAGCAGTGTGTACCTGTAACTCCAGTCCTGGGGTCTAGAGACAAGTGCATCCTGGGTCTTGCTTGCCAGCATGTCTGTCCAAAATGGAGGCTTTCAAGTTCATTGAGAGATTCTGTCTAAAATGCAGATATCAAATAAATTACTAAAAAATATCTCAACATCAGTCTTTGGACTCCACACATAGACTCATGGGAGAATGTGCTTCCAACACCCATGCTTCCACTATGTACAACACAAACATGAACAAAAATTAGAGAAGAGCAGAATTGAATGGTGTATTGGTTATAATCGTTGATTATCCAGCATGAAAGGGTAGAGATGAAATTACATTGAAACAAATTGTTTGAGTTGGTGTTTCTATTGCTGTAATGAGACACCATGGCCATGGCAACTCTTGTAAAAGAAACATTTAGTTGGGTGGCTTAAAATTCAGAGGTGTAGTCCATTATCATGGTGGGACATGAAGGCATCGAGGCAGACATGGTGCCAGAGATGGAGCTGAGAGTTCTACATCTTGATCTGCAGGTAACAGGAAGTGAAATGAGTCACTGGGCTTTAATTAAGCATATATGAGACCTCAAAGCCAACCTCCTCAGTTATACTTTTTCTCTAGTAAGGTCATAACTACTCCCACAAAGTCATAACTCCTAGTAGGGGCACCTACTTTGGGGCCATTTTCTTTCAAATCATCCAAACAAAATGAAATGAAATATATGTAAGATTTCTCTTATATTACCAAAATAAGAATTTATGAAATCCACATGTATTTTCAAATATATTATATTTAGACAAATATCATGATAATTAATTTTAAAATTATACTATGATAAGCTTATTGCATTACAGCTACAATGTATTTTGAAACATTCTTGAGAAAGTAATTGAATAGCATGTTACTTTACCTTTAAACTCTCTCCCTTAAGATCAACATAAATGCAAAATTATTCAGATCTGGGGAATTTATGCATGAACAGAGATAAATGTAGAAGGATTTATACTGTGTTTCTCTGGTTTAAAACTAGTAGAAAATGGAGTCTAATATTTGAGCATTTTCGTCCTTTTTCCACTGTTTAGGAAAAAGATGAGGTATATTCTTTATACTTTATTATCTTTGCTTAATAAAATGTTTAATGTTAGATCTAATATCTTAACAAGTCTTTATGAAGACAAAATACTTTATATTTATTTCCTGGTTTTGGCTGGTTTCATTTTCTTAGTATTCCTTGTTTGGTCATTGGAGCAGGGCATGTGCCGCAAGATTGCCTTTTATATATTACAGGCTTTGTCCTTCTTGGAGTGCTTGGATGACAGCTGTATCTAAGAAATCTCAACAATATGGTCTCCTAAACAATGACAAGATCAGTTGACAGGCAAGTGTAGATGGGAACTCTCTGAAAACCCTACTGTTTCTCTGTCTCACTAGCTCACAAATGGAGACAAGGAGACTTCTTACTAACTATGGAAGTTCTGACTATAGCTTAGGCTTGTTTCTAACTAACTCATAATTTAAATTAATCCATGAAGCTCATGGCTCTCATCTCTCCTCCTTCACATACTTTTGCTCTGCATCTTCTCATGTCTCCCACATGTCTAGGTTTCTCCTCCTCTTGTCTTTCTATGCATATTCAATTCTTTATATAACCATGTCAAACTCATAGTCTCAGTACTCAGAATACAAAACATGTCATTGGTAATTTTCACAAAGTGCATCTCTTCCCCTTTACTTTAATGGCCATCTTTACAAATACCCCCTGAAGACTTTAGGGAGTCAGTGCTGAACATGGTTTCTACCACCACAAAGTCTCTAGATGATGTATATCCCAGAATTAATGCTGATATTTTTATTGATTTTCAGAGGGCTTGAAGGCAGGGAACATGGCTATCTCACTATTACCATATCCTACAGACAGGCAACAATAATGAAAATGTCCTTTAATGTAGACTACCCACAAATTAGTCATCCATAATCCTAGCCTCTCCTTTGCCATCTAGTATGGAGATATGAGAGATTACCCTGTCTCCAATTCACAAAGACACACCGGTATGAGCATAAGCACATGCACACACACACACACGCAACACACACACATATATTCACCACATAGTTCTCTTGAGCCAGAATCTACTTTTAAAATGAATTAGTAAAGCATACATTTGGATGTTGAATAAGCACATCTATAGAGTGCTCCCAAATGTAGAATACCACAGTTTAGGAGTTCCAATGGGACAGGTGTATATCTATACATAGGGCAAAGATCTCTTCTCGTGTTAATTTAATTGCCTTGTCTTTCCCATTTAAAGAAACACACAGGCAGGTCAGAACGCTAACAGTTCTATTCCAAAGTGCATTTGAATAAAGAACAAAAACTGCTAAAAATAACTTCTTAAATGTACTTATCATCTAGGGCCAGTATAAAAGAATTATGCTAATATAAAATATTTTGAATGTCTAAGAAGATGTATTGGTGTATGAGAAACCCTGGTGTTTTGTGCTCCGAGTGACTCATGCACACAGTGGGTCTACATGGACTAAGAAACTGTAGATTAAAAGGGCAAAAACACTGGGTCTCATTTGTTTTCTTCTATTATGCTAGAAATGGTAACTTTTTGGGAGACATTTCTAAAGGGTAAAGGCCATTTGCATAAAAATAGCCCATTTCAATTATTATGGTTTTTTTTTTTTTGATTTTCAAGACAGGGTTTTCCTGTGTAGTTTTGGAGCCTATCCTGGCCCTGGATCTGTAGACCAGGCTGGCCTTGAAATCGTAGAGCTCTGCCTGGCTCTGCTTTCCAGATGTTGGGATTAAAGGCATGCACTACCAATGCTCAGCCCAGTGATTTATGTCTTTCACTTCGTATAATTACTATAATGACATTGATATCTGAGGCACCTTTTGTCCTCTCAAGTACATAAATTTTGGATAAGTTTATAGACAACCTATCGAAAAATACATAGTACTGAAAACATTCAATTAATCAGGATGCTGAATATTAACATTAAATATTAGCAAGGTTATTAATTTCACAATAAATTTGATATGGATACAGTTTATTTTCCTAATTTCCCTCTTCCACCATGTCACACATCTCTGATGTAGAATTATAGGTTTTAAATTAATATTTGATTCTGTATGCTTTGACATTACAATATGTACCAACCAGCTAGTCTGTACTATCTACTAACATCTGATGCTAATGCTCTATGCATAAGGCAAGCTATACATCAGTTTTCCTGTTTCGATCTTGCTTTACTCTCTATGATCAATAGAGCTTTGCAACACCAAATAATATGTCATCAATTTTATATACAAGGATCACTATTACAGACTAATAATGAAATACTGCTAAAGCTAATAGGAATATGTGTTCATATTTAAGTATTCTACTAGAGAAAATTATGCTGGCTCTTTTTCCCCTCAGGCATCTATTATAGTACTTAACAATAAACCCTAAATACTTGTTTTGTAGTGAATTCTAACACTGACTGAGGCTTTTCATGTCAACCAATAATTGAATCCCCACACATGTTCACCATTTCACACCTCAGTAAGACTGAGCATAATGGCAAACAATGCAGAGGACACACCCACTAAAGTGCTAATCAGTGCCTCTTATTAATATCTTACATACAACTTTTGCCAAGTAGTGACATATAATTAATTTTGGGGGTACATGCTTTTAATGGAGATTTTGAAATAAGAGAAAGAAAGTCTATTTCTATAGATCAATTCTTTTCAAATATGGGTGGTGTTAGTATTACACCTCAAGCTTAGTTCTGGGTCTCATTAAATATTGGGTCCAGCTTATGGTATAGGTATGTGTGTGGTTCTACCTCTTTAGGTAGCATGTAAGACTTCTAAAAGAAGTGGTACTGGTAACAAACTACTAAATTTTTCCAAGTAGATTAGCAGGCTTGTCTAACATTTAGAAATAACAATTAGTTTTGCTTTTTCTTGACTCTTTTTCCTTCTAACATCATAGACATACAAGCAGTTATACATCTAATGCCCTTCAGGCATGATGCCACAAGGCTACCAAATCAGAGAACTCTAAAGTAATCTGGAATTTGACAACAGACAAGCAAGAAGACATTATTTCACATGTGCAATGTTCCACAAATAGTTTGTGCTCTGTTAAATCAGCAGTTCTACTAGATAACTCTCTAAAGTTTCCAGAGATGCTGAGGGGGACCAAATGAGATTAGATGAATCAACTGTTTTATAGCATTTACATATTAAGTGTTTTGCTATTTCTTTTGTACAGCTTGCTCTGTGTTTTCAAGTTTCATAATTCTTTACTTTTATGTTAGCCAATTCTCCAATATGAACTTTAAAGATAGGATCTATGGATATGCTTTTACCTGTTAATTCTTTGTTTTATTGTAATGTCCTCTGATTATTGATATAACATCTCATTGTCAGAATTATGTGAATATGGAATACAAAGAGAATTCTTGCTTAATAATGAAGAAAATTATGAATAACACCAAATAAATAAAAGAACTCCAGAAATTAAAAAAAGACAAGAAATGTTTTTCTTCACATCATAATGATGAAAACTGGCAACCCATCATGCCAAAAAAGGCAAATAGCATTACTTGGTATGACTCAGCTTTGAAAAAAAGCAAAAACAAAAAAGCAAGGAAACCTTGAAATCTGTAGGCAAATAGATGGAACTGGAAGAAACGATCCCGAGTGAGGTAACCCAGTCACAGAAAGACAAACATGGAATGTACTCACTCATATATATGGATATTAGACATAGAGCAAAGGACAACCAGCCTACAATCCATACCACCAGAGAAACTACCCAAGAGGAAAACACATGGTCCCCTGAAGAAGGGGAAAGGGACAAGAACCCCTGAGCAAATTGGGAGCATGGGGTGAGACGGGGAAGAAGATACGGAAAAGAGAAGAGAAGTAGAGGAGGCAGGAGGAGACCAAGAGGGATCAGGAAGACTGAGACAGAGGAATAGAGGAGAGCAAGAAAGGAGTTACCTTGATAGAGGGAGCCAGTATAGGTTTAGAGAGAGGTCTGACACTAGCGAAATGTTCAGAGATCCTCAAAGATGGCCCCAATTAGGAATGTAGGCAGTAGTGGAGAGGCTGCCTTTGATGCCCTTTCCCTATTATGAGATTGATGACTACCTTGGTTGCCATCCTAATGCCTTCATCCAGTAGCTGATGGAAGCAGAAGCAGACACCCACAGCTAAACAATGAGCCATACTCCTGAAATCCAGTTGTAGAGAAGGAGGAGGGATGAGCAAAGGAGACAAGATCGTGCTGGAGGAACCTATAGAAACAGTTGACTTGACCTAGTGAGAGCATGGAGATCCTAGTCACATAGCTGGGGAACCAGCAATGGACCAAACCAAGCCCTCTGAATGTGGGTGCCAGCTAGGAGGCCTGGTCAGTCTATAGAACCTCTAACAGTGGAGCCAGTGTGTATTCCTAGTGCACAAATGGACTTTGGGTGCCCATTCCCTATGGAGGGATTTGTTACAGCCTAGATACACTAAAGGGGGCCTAGACCCTCCCACAAATGATGTGACAGACTTTGATGATCCACTGTGGAAGACCTCACTGTCCTTGGAGAGTGGGTGGGGGTTGGGTTGGGGAGCTAGTGGGGGGCACATAGGGATGGGAGGGAGAGGGAATGGGGGATTGATATGTAAAATAAGAGTGATTCTAAAATAAAATAAAAAAATCAAACAATAGGACCACTTGTTCCATTTCAATGATATGCGTGCCTTCAGATCCTTAACCAGGTGGCAACAGGCACAGAAGAAAACTTGAACAGGAATAACCTTCCAGAACGAACTACCACAGATCCATTTCCACGAACTTCAGACAACAGCCATATATGCTATCAAATATTCAAAATGTGAGCCTCTGGAAAGACAACCCGAATTTAAAACAGCATTAGATAATATTTGATAGACTAATATTCTTCAAAACACCCACATTTAATAATAGGAATTATTGACGATGTTATCTGGCAAAAAGAAATTTGCAGTTTGACTCAATTAAAGATCTTATGATGGAAAAATGTGTCAGATTTCTAGAAGAGATCATTGTCAACATGAGCATCCTTACAAAGAAGGATCAGGTCTAAGGCTTAAAAATTAGACTGCAAGATGGAAGACAGGGCATAAGTAACCCCTGGCAACTGTAAACATTGAAGAAAAATTCCTAGAAATTGCTGTTGGAAAAAGTTTCTTCTTAGCATTGACTTTATTCCTATAAGATTCAATCTGAACAATTAGAAGAGATATTTAAGATGTGGATTTCTAGAACTATTATAGAATAAACATGTTGTTTTAACTCATTTCATCCAGAGTAAATTGCACCAGTAGCAATACAAAAAGAATATATGTTTTTTGAATGTTTTCCTAGTTACTTGGAAAAACATTTTGAATTGTTTGTATTATTTTATTTTTTTCTTTTAATCATTTTTGTGATTTTTAAAAATAAATTTATACTTTATTTGTTAATGTAATTTTACTTTTACTTTTCTGAAGCTGAAATTAATTTTTTACTTATAAAACATCTGATTTTACATGATTCATTTTGCAATATTACTTGTGTTCTTGAGATTTTCTCTTAGATATAATTATAAAAATTATATAGTTTAAATTATAAAAGTATAATTTAAGGCTTTTCATGTAGAGCAGAGTAGAGTCTATTTTGTACCTTATTTTGTCTCATGACCAAGCTAGTGACTTTCTAAGAAACTTGTTCATCTATCCTTGGGCCTCTTAAGTGTCTGTTAGCATTGCTAAGACTCATAATATTTTATGTCCACTGAAATCTCCAGACTTTTTTTTCTACTTCTTTCCCCCAACTTCAGGTAATTTTACCACCTATACTAAGCAATCATTATGAAGATGAAGACTAAGAAATAGGTTTCATACAACCCTTCATTTTTCCTGAAGGCACTTGCACTTGCTTTGGTATTATGGCAACCAAACTCAAGTTTTCTTAATCTCCCATGATACTAACACTGATATCTTAAGCTTAGTTAACACCTGATTCCCTTTATTGCACTTTTGCCCATCCTGTACTGACATACTAATAAGGGTCTTCCTAATTATGGTTGCATTAATTAATGATGACTTGGTAAGGTGAATGTTTGATAAGCAGAGTTCGTGATGTGCATCTGAGTAGCTGGACTGTCTGGAGATTTGAGAATAATTAATATAAGAAGCTTGAAAATATAAAAAAGAGAAATGATATGCAGTTAATCCTGGTATTCTCTCTCTTTCTTTGTAAGTTTTGTTTTCTCTGTTCAGGTGACAGACAGCCCCAATGGTATTTCTTTATCATTTCAGATCTCAGCCCAGTAAACAAAATGTTATGGTTTTCTTTTCATTATAAGTTGATGTATTTATTCTAGAAATATAATAGACCCATCATGGTGGTTCAAGCTTGTAGTCAATCAATCAATTTAGAATGTTTTCAATAATTACATAAATACTTTGTTAACTTTAAAATGCAGTTAGAACATGTATGTTAATTGTTGTCTCCACTAAATCCCTCTCCTCAGAGCTCAGGTAGCACCACAGAAGAGGAGGCAGAAACAGTATAGGAGCTAGAGGGCATGGAGGACACCAAGAGGGCATGGGTTTCCAAACCAACACAAGCAAAGTTTATATGAACTTTCAGAGACTGAAGCAGCATTCATAGCACCTGCAGGAGTCTGCACCAGGTACTCTCTGCTTTCATTATGGCTTCCAGTGTAGTGTTTTCTGGAATTCCTGCTTGCGTGAATGAGTGGGTCTTTGATTCTTAGGCCTCATTTGATACTCTTTTCCTTCTATTGGTTTATCTTGCCCAACATGATGTGGTAGGTTTTCTTTCATCTTATTATATTTTCTTTTGTCATCCTTAAAAAGCAATGGATAAATGATTGAGTTAATGAATCAATGAAAACCTAGCCACTAGGGTAAAGGTTAATCACTAACACTGTCATTTATACCTGTTTAGAGATAGAAAACCAGTTTTGTTCAGTGGAGTGATGCTGGACATAACAACCATTCCACCCAGGCATCTTTTTCAAGAGTAGTTGGGCCAAGATATGATGGTTTGCACAGTGTGTGTGTGTGTGTGTGTGTGTGTATACAAGTATGTAACTAATTGTGAAATAAATAGTACTGTTGGGAAAAAATGAATATACACACACATGAATGCTTGAAACTTGGTTCCAAAGCTGCTACATTGCTTCTAATACATTGATTGTAAAATATACCTCCTAGTTGACATCTCTTTAAGTATTTTGTTTATCATGTGAGCCTTATTATTTGTTTAAGAAGATATATAAACTATTCATATAAGCAAGTATTATAATGAAAATATTTCTTTAATATATGATAATATATCAGGGATGCTTAAACTACTTTATGATTTTTACATTTAAATCATTGTATCATATCATCTACTACCATATAGTATGAGTTGGAATAATATTTTGTAGTACACATCAAGGCTATAATGTTCTTTGAAGCAGAAATATTAAACTACACAAATTTAGGGATGTCCTATGATATTTATTGAAAGAGAAATCACTTACATGAAAACCCAATAAAGCTGGTCCACATGCTGTTCTCCAGTCGGAAACCGAAACCCAAAGAGGGAGCATCCCCTACCCCTAGCTGCATTTACCACCTTACGGTCTTTGTACCCGTGAACACACCCACACAGGAGTGGTCAGCGCTTATGGATGCGTAAAATCACTCCCTACAAATTTACTTACCTCCCGCTCGTCTGCCATTTCTTTGCATGAGATTTCTACCTCACAATGAAATGCTGCCCCCTTCCCAGCCATCTCCTCCAGTTTCTCCTGTTCTATTTCCCCACCTGACACATAAGCTTGATCCCTTCTGTTCCCATCCTCAACTGCCACAGTCTACCCAGGAAATCTATTCTGTTTCCCCTTCCCAGGGAGATCCAAATGTCCTGTTTTGAGCATTCCTCGTTCCATAGCCTCTCTGGAACTGTGGATCCTGACATCGTTATCTTTGATGGACAGCTAATATACATTTATAAGTGAGTGCGTACCATGTTTGTCTTTCTGGGTCTTGATTACCTCACTCAGGATGATTTTTGCTAGTTCTACCCATTTACTTGCCAATTTCATGCCATTGCTTTTTAACAGGTAAGTACTACTCCCTTGTATAAATATAGCAATTTTCTTTATCGATTCCTCTATTGAGGGAGGTCTAGGCTGTTCCTTTCTGGCTGTTATGAACAAAGCTGCTATGAACATTGTAGAGCAAGTGTCCTTTGTGGTATGGTGGCACATCCTTTGGGTATATGCCTAAGAGTGGTATAGCTGGGTCTTCAGGTGAATCAATTACCAACTTTATGAGGAACCTCCATATTGATAGTCACAGTGGCTGTGCAAGTTTGTATTCACACCAGAAATTGAGTCATAGTCTCCTTGCTCCACATCTTCACCAGCATTAAGTAAAGAATAAGTTTTATTAATGGAAGTATGGAACTAACATTAGAAAGTGTTATATAATAATTAATAATGCAGTTATACTTTAATATCTGGGGGTAGAGGTGAGTCAGCTGACTTCTTGACCAATGTACCCTGTCCTTCCCAGCAAAATGCTAAATTAGGAAATTAGAAAGTAAATGACATAGGATATAACCCTGAAACATGAAATGAAGCACACTTTTTACTTGTACACTGAAATCATCTAACATATAAACAGCATTGAAATATGTACCTGTGATATAAAATTATATAATATTAAAATCTAAATTTAAGTTTTCATAATTTCAGACTGTTGTCAATCAAGGTATAAAATGTTATTTTGAAGATGAGTTTTTATTCCTTCTTTTAAATAATCTTTGTTATGAGTTCTCAAATGGTAAATCAAGGATGTTTATTTAAAATCACTCAACTGGATGAAAAATATTAGTTGTGACTATTTTGTATGATGCTATTCCATAAATTAAGACTCCTGATTATATTGACTGAACCATAAATCATTTTAAAATTGAGCTAAGAACTGAAAATTTTGTGAAAATTATCAAAGAGTTTCTTATTTATTTTGTCTTATTTATTTTTTATTGATGTTACAAAAATGGCCAAAGCAACTTAGGATAAAAGCCTTTTTATTGGGGATCACATTTCTCAAGGGGTAGAGTCCATGATCATCAGGATGCATGAGTATGACATCACACAGGCAGTCCCTGGGCTGGAGCAGTGGCTATGAACTTACAAACTGATCCACTGAGCCAGAAAGGGAAGGGAAAATTGCAGTGCATGGTCTTGTTGTTGAAATTATTATTACATCCTTTCTCCCTCGTGTTTTATCCATCCAAGGCCTCCCACATAGTCTTCTCTGTTCTCTTGCAAATTCATGGCTTCTTTCTTCATTACTCCTGATTACATTAAATATATTTCATATACATAATTCACAATAAAATCTGCTGAATCTGTATGACATTACTTGTAGGTATATTTTCAGGAATGACCATCTGGCAGTGGACAAACCATTGATGAGCTCTTCCTTGGGGAACGCCACCTGTCCTGTTTCTAATTTCCTCATTTTCCTATCTTTTGTGTAATATTGAGACTTTTCATGGCGTTTTCTTGTTCATGTCTGTTCTTGGCCTTTTATTGGCATGTCAATTGGTTTTTTCCTTGTTCAGGTCACATTTAGGGAGTCATGTTGCCGAGAGTTTATGGGCATTCCATCTGATATTACCAGAAGACACAAAATAAACAATAAACTCCCTGGTGACAAAGGATTCTGATACTTCAACTCTGATCCCCCTGTGAAATACCTCCTTCATCAACGCCACATCAACTAATCATTCCTAATGATCCTAATAAAGGTATTTTCATTCAATCCACCATAGCTTGCTTGTGGAAAAGAAGTAGGTATAATCTGTGACACAGGTTTCATTATGCTCTTTATCAATGGCAGTTGAAAATTCAGGTAACAGTGCCATGAAAAGAGAGCATAAAATCTGTGGCATTGTTTTCTAGTATTAGGAAATTAGTAATCTGTGTACTTAGTGCATAGCCTGGTATTGTCACAAATTTTGTGATGAGTCCTCCAACTATTCCTTTAGTTAAGGGTTTTACTGCCCTTGGGCTATTTTTTTACTTTTCCAATTTGGCATGAAAAATTTCTGACTTACTTTTTTCAATCCAAAGTTCTGAAAAACTTGACAGGTTTTGCTGACATTTGGGGATTCAGTCCAACTTCTTACCAAGTGAAATTTAAGAACTGCAAATCTATCAAAACTGAAACAGCAACATAGTAGTTTACAAGCACTAAGTGATTCTGAAACAGAAAATTAAATAATTCTTCCCCTTATTGAATAAACTAAAAAAGTTAACATAAGTAAAAAGTAATGTCACTGGGCTTTGTATCACACCTAGATTTAAACTCTTCAGTAAGTGCCTATTACAATAGTTCTGTTGTGACATATGTTTTAGAAATGTCACTTAATGGAATGCAAGAAAAGTTATCTTTTTCTGTGATTTTTCAGTACTCTATAATATACACACACCCATTAAAACATTCATTTCATTGTACACGTAGAAATTATAACTTGACTGCCGAATTTCAGAGTAATTTAAGATACATAACTGACTGCTATTTGTTTATTGAGATATTAATGAGCAGATTTCACAATCTACAATGAACAAGGCAAGTATATAATACACATGCATAGTATTACCCTATGCTTACAGAAAACGTGTAATGCAACAACACCACAAATATCAGGTAACTGGAGATTCCTTTATATGGTTAATTATTATTCTTCTATTTTTGAAATTAAAATATAATTTTTACACTTAACCTTTCCCTTTCTTCCCTCCCATATACCCTTCTTGCTCTCTTCAAATGCATGTAACTTGATCAGCCTGTGCAATGTTACTCGTGTGTGTTTTCAGGATTGACACATTGCTTGGAACCACTTGGTGTGCTCCTTCTTGAGAAGGACCATTTTCCCCACTCCCAGCATTCCTTGGAGTATAGTTGACTACTCTTGGCCTTTACTCCACCTACTTTGGCATGTCTTGTTCAGCCCATGCTAAAGTCATCATGTTGGTGTGACTTTCTGGGTATAACGTCTGACATTACTAGGAGACTCAATCTTAAAGGAAACTGCCTGAGATTCTGGTTTAGACAATCTTCATGCACAAATTTCCCAAGAATCCACACCCAAAGACAAGAAGCAAAGCCTTAGAGATGTTTCAGTAATGGTGTCACCTGGTGTCCATTGTATTTGTATTGTATTTGTTTATCCATGAAGGCAGTTCCTTGGTGGTTTTCAAGGTATGAACTGGGTTCATCAATAATTGGTAGCTAAACTCAGCAATGTTTATCATCTCTCTGGAATAATAATGAGTTAAAAACAAGTAGAGATTAAAATCATAGTTAATGATATAAATGAAAAAACTATACATGAATTAAAGTCAAATAAAATATAAACCAAATTGTATGTGTCAAGCGGTGTCCTTTTTGAAGTTTTATCAACATGTCACAAGGTAGTTATCTGGGAAAAAAAACTTTTGGTGAGAGGATGTCTCCATCAGATTGACTATAGGTAAGTCTGTAGGACATTTTCTCTATTAATAATTCAAAAGGAAGGTTCTAGCCTATGGAATTGATTCCATCTCTGGGCAGCTTGGCAGTATAAGAAAGTACATTGAGAAACAGGGAGGAAGTAAGCACACAGCTTCCATTGAGGTCCTGTCTCCAGGTTCCTGCTGCAGTTCTTGCCCTGACTTCCATCAGTGACACATTGTGACCTTGGTGCTATAAAAGAAAAGAAAGTGATACCTTCTCAAGTTGACTTTGGTCATGATATTCATCAAGGCAACAGAGATCACACTAACGAAAAGTTGATTCATCCAACAAATTGAAGGCTTGCTTAACACTTTAATTTTGTACAGAAGAACATTTCAAGTTAACAGGATGCAGAGGAAACTATAAACTAAATATCAACCCAAAATTGGAAAAAAAAGCTTGCTTAATCCAAAACCAAAACTATAATTAATGATGCAAATCAGGGAAAGATTAGCACATTTGCAAGTATTCCCAATGCAAGTGCATTAGAAAATTCATTGGTTCAAGATTTGAAATGCATTCTCATTTTTGGTAGTTCTATCCAATCCGCACCATGGTCTTTAAGATGTTTTTACATGGAGGTCCAACTTTGGAAAACCTTAATTCAAGCATGATTGGTTGAATAATTAATATAATAAAATTGACTGTATGGTTTTTGGCAGATTAAAGCGTTTGATATTTCAGAACACATTCATGAAGAAACTTTAATTTTCCTGAAAACAAGTCCTTGATTCACTTTTATAAGCAATACATGACTATTCTTTTTATGAAATTTTATTTTTTCCTGTTTCACAATGTCCAATAAATGTTACCATAAAGACGGTAGCCTTAGCTGGGCAGTGGTGGCTCATTCCTTTAATCCCAGTACTAGGGAGGCAGAGGGAGGTGGATCTCTTTGAGTTCAAGGTCAGCTTGGTCTACAGAGATACACAGAGAAACTCTGCCTTGTAAATCTGACTATGAATAGTACATTAATTAATTAAAGAGTCAGCTGTGGTTTATAAATTAACATTTTAGATTTGTTATTGAAAACTTGTTCTTATCTTATGCAATATTCTTATTATTATTTACCCTCGTTTTCCTCTCGTTTCTTCTCCTCTTCCACCCCACTATAGATCCACTCACCCCCTGTATCTCATTAGTAAAGAACAGGCCTAAAAAAAGAAAACAAACAATCATGAAAAACATATAATAAGATGAAACAGAAATTATCGTATTGAAGTTTGACACATCAACCCACCAGGAGGAAAGGAGTCCCAAGAGCAGGTCCAAGAGAAGAGACACACCCATTCTCAAAGTCAGGAGTTTCGTCAAAACACTCAACTGCAAGCCATCACATGCATGCAGAGGACCTGGTACGAGCTGTGTAGGATATCCAGATGCTGCTTTATTCTCTTTTTTCTCATGTGCACCTTCCTTATTCGGGTCGCAGAGCCTCTCTCC